ATAACTATCTTAGTGTAAGTCATGGGTGTGAAAAACGGAGACTATTCTGATGATTGCCGATGCCTCTCCGTTAGTCTGCCGTCAAGTCACTTGGTTTGGACACAATCTATTCGAAGATCCTCATCGCCACGAATTGCTTATTATTAAATGCATTCATTGGTTTGTGATTGCTGTATAGAAGTCCCTCTCCATAAATGCGATGGGGTCTTGATTCTAATCCAACAGAAGTATTTAATATAGAAGGTGCTCAGCGTAGAGATTCATTTAAAAACATCAATTCTTAGGTGTGATAGTGTGTGTGCGTATATTGAGAGGGATTCTGCAAGTGTAAGAATGGGTGGTTCCTGACATCACATTTAAATTTACTTTCTACATATACTTTACCGTGTTATGTCGTTGTTATCCCTAACGAGACAAATAGTAATGCCATTGTCACCTCACCTGAGAAAAATAGTACTGAAAATCCTGATTAAGTTGCTATTTTGAGGCAAGTATCGCGAGACGCAAAACCCCTCTAGGAAGTTATATGAAGTCTCACTTTACATCGGCTCGATGATAAATTGTGCGTATAATCGAGTAAAATGCTACATCCATATATATATGTGTATATATATGTGTATATATATGTATTTGTAAATCCATCTGATTATGAACGTATTATTATTTTTCAGTAGGCTGCAGTTTGTGCCTCATTTTACTTTTATGATTAGTGTACATCTATTTATCTTTCGCATTCGAAACGCTTAAAATTGTGAATTTACCCTGGTAATGCAATATCAGCTTGCGGGGGGAAATAGAAGTTCTTCATACTTGCTTTAAACTACTATGTGACCAGTGCTAAACGCCTGTAGTTCATGTGAAGACGGTGGCTCCACATCAAGCAGACATATTTATCAATACGTAATACCACAGTAGCAATAAATATTCGGAGGAGGTTTTCAACGTAAATACAAAAGCAAAAGCGCTTTCAGTACTCAAAATTGGAAATAACTTTTGTGTGCGCAGAAATACACTAGAAAATAAAGAATCTGGTACCGTACGGGAGGCCAGCGAACTCGCCTAGGGCTGACATGAAGTAGACGCTCAACGGC